AGCCGCGGCATCGCCCGGGGTTAGCGCTGCGCCGGGGCTGCGGCCTCGGGGAGCCCGGTGTGCCCAGAGAATAACTTTCTGAGAGGTGTGGGCGCTTCTTTCTTGTTTTCCTTCTGTGTTTTTTTTTTTTTTTTTAAGTTATTTATTTATTTTTAGTTAGACAACTCTCTGCGGTTTTGCTTTATCGCTTTTGCCGCCTTCCCTCTTCTCAGCGGCTTAGGTAGCACGGTTCAAAGGGAGAAGGTGCGACAGTTACGGAGCACTGTCAAGTCTCTGGAAAACCTCTGTTGGCAAACGAAGAGGGCATCCGGTTTTCTCAGGATGGGATTTCTTTCCCTTCTTTTTGAGCCGATGGGTAAAAAGCTCAGAATTTCACTTTCTGAACTTGTCTAAACCAGCTTTTTCCTGCCTCCACACAGTTGCGTTTAATTAAATGTGCCTAATTTAAGCACAAGGGCTGCTAAACAATAGTCTGTAACATGTGTAGCACAAACCCGTATTTCCTCCCTCTAAAAGACAACAAAGCAGACAACTTGGGAGTTTCCTTTCTGCTGGGTGCTTATGAATAATTTCTTTTTTTCTGGGTATGTAAAGCTGAGCTCTCAGCTGGTGTCAATTGCTGCTGCTCTGCTGAAGTGTGGTTTTGCTGAATTGCAGCAGTGGAGAACCTGGCTGTGGCCTGTGAACCAAGAGCCTTGGTTTCAAAATGTACCCCCAAATAACCACTGTTGAGACAATGAGTTTGTCTGGTGAAGCTCTTCGAACACCGATGATACTTCCCTTTGAAGGAGACATGCGATCTTAACTATTCTTGCTCTCTATCGGTGTATTTGCAAAGGAATTTCTTCTGACTAAATAATAACTTCCTGTTATCAAATGATACAATACTGTGAGATTCTTGCTTTCTGGCAGCTTCTCCACTTCATGCAAGGTTCTTCACCTCCTCCCTCTATGCCAGGAAGTCTGTTTTAGCAATATGTATGTGGCAAAAGCCTTATTCTCTCTTACTTTATGCTTGCGAACCTGATTAGTTTAGGATGGTCAGAACGGCAGTAGCAGAGCAGCATCAGCGTTGGTACTTGTGCGTGCTCTCTCTGCGTTAGAGAGCATTTATGGTGCTCAAGCTGCTTCAGTAACTCCGTGGATTTGTTGCATGAGTATAATAAGATCAAGTCTGGGTCAGACTTGAGCCCACAGTTCAAATTCCTCTTAATTGCCCAGAAAACACATAAGATTATTTTTGCTGGCTTGATGCTAGCTGGGGGATAAAGGGTACCTGATCTGGCAGGAAGGCTGCTAGTATGAAGGTAATTTGTCAGTGTTTTAGGAACAAACCAGCTTTAGTGAGTATCTGCTGCTGTGGCTGTGGTGTTTTTGACCTGGGACTGAAAGCCCTAAAGCTAGTTTTGTGGCAGCAATGATCTCAGGTGTTTCAGAGGAGATCAGTTGAGTAAAACCCTTGTTTTTTGTAGAGATCTCTAATTCTGGCCAATTCACTCTCCATGGGAATGTGTCAAGGCATGCATTTCTAGAGGGGCATTTTTCTGCTGAGCTGTGCCTTTTTGGAGGCTCCCCGTACCCACTTGTAGCGACTTTGCAGAGGAAGCTGAAAGTACAATCCTTGAAGTAGCTGTAGGAAAAGTTTGTATCAATTATACTTTGCAGAGATCAAAGGCTTTGTGAGTTTCTGAGACATCCCTGTAAATTCTGCCATTCTTCAGTGGTATTTGTAGTTATAGCAACACAATACTACAGAAAAATCCTTGTAAATCTTCATTTTTACGGAAACCTGGCATATATTTTTTACTTTCTGTTCTGCCAGCTGACTGAACTCTGAAATAACTTTCTCCCTTCTCAGGTAAGTGGACTTAACCGTCGGTTAAGACCAGAACTGTAAAGTTTTAGCATAAAGGTGAAACTTGGGAGAGTTTTAAGGGCTTCTCCCCTCCCCCCCCCCCCTTTTTTTTTTTTTAAGGATGGGCACTGTTGTAAAAGCCTGCTTTGTCCAAGACTTGATTTGCAACTCTTTAGTGAAGAGAGTTGAACAAGTATTGTGATGGCTTATATATCTGTAGCTTAGAAATTCTTTTAAGCCTTGATCTGTTGCTCGCATCCTTCTAAGTTCCAAGCACTTTCAGTAAGGTGAAGTGTTTTAGAAGGGCTTGATCCAAAGCTACGGATACCACTGGCTGTTAGTTCAAATACTGTAGGAATAAAAACGTGATTAACTTGCGTGACTTCAGGGCTTTAATATGAGGAAGCTTTTCAGAAAACAAATTACAGATTCTTCCATGCTTAGTCTTCAATGATCTGACAGCTGCTCCAGCAAGTGTAGAGGTGTCAAGAGCCAGATGTGAAAGATGATATTTGAATTTTGACTTCCCCTTGCCTACGTTTCTCAACTGTTTCAGCTGAATGGGTGTACAAATTCCTCTCCCTTAACTGTTAAACCTGAGCCAGGTTTTGTGTGCTGTTTTCTGCAGAATTGCAGAAGATTTCAGGCTTCAGAGTTTTTGAGCTGTTCTTGTCTACAAAGCAACATGCATTCCAATAGCATTGTGCAGATGAGCACATTAAGAGCAAACGTTGGCATCCAGGCTGAGTGAGATGACTCTGTGGAGCCGTATCAGATCCTGTGTGTGTGTGTAGCAATGCTATCTATTTCGGAAATCTACTGCAGGCATTTCTGTCACTTCATTACTGTAGTAAATCGTCATACTAAGGAAAAAAAAAAACAACCAACCCTCTCTATGGCTGCAGTTAGGCAAAAGCTGTGATTATGTCAGTAATGCCAGTAAGCAAATGGGGCTGGATGCCTTCCAGTTGGTGATACTATGGAGGGGGTGGGGTTGGAAGAGAGCAGAAACAGAGATGGATGTTTCTTTTCTCCTTTCTGTATCTGAAATGGCACAGTTTGCTCTCTGGCTTTATTTTGCCATAAATAGGAGTACCTGTGCTTGAACCAGGCACTTCAGCAGTTTGCTATAAGCTGCTGCACTGCTTCACTCATGACCTGGGCACCCTTCAAGGTTGTGGGTGCTACAAGTGAACACAGGGTGGATCATTAACTGAACAGGCAAGGGAAAAATTCTCAATGCTCTTTCCATAGGGAGCATGCCTGTACATGGTGGCATGTTCCTGAACAGTCTGTCTTAAAGCTTTTTGTGCACAGGATTACAGAAAGGAGCAGAACAGCAGCCTCTGTAATGGGAATCTTCAGTCTTCAAACCTCTGGAGGAAATGGAGGAGGAAAAAAAAGAATCACTTCTTATTCTGAACTGTCTCTATGTTCAACATAATCCTCCTAATTTGGAAGGATATTAATGTCCTAAGCAGGCTTGATCAATGATCAGAATTGTTAGTGACATGGGAAAAGCTAATGTGGTTCTTCAGTGCCAGATGTGCTGAGATAAGGATGCTTATTCCTGACACCTCATTTTGTGCTAATCACACTGTTGTGCTCTCAGCCTGGCTAATACCCGTTCTGCCTGGGGATTAGTGTGGGTTGGGATCAGGGTGACACTAAATCAGCAGACAGGTCAGCATGAGCACCTTGTGAAGGAACAAGAACCAGGACTGCATGCAGGTCCTTGTGAAGCTGCTCCTGAGCACCTGTGTGTGCGTTTATGAAGGCAGCCCAATGCTGACTTCAGAGCTATGCAATTCCTTGGGACCAGGTTTAGGAGATGTTATGAGTCAATTAATTCAGCAGTTTATGCCATCATTTACCTGAATGTCTCCGTTTTACACCAGAGCTCTATCTGCTCCTCACTCTTGGCTGCTACTTGTAGACATTTTACTAGTCTGACATTCGGCTGTCAAAATAAAGTGCTCCTTCTTATTTTTTTTTTCCTGAAAGACTTTCATCTGAGAACCCAAGAACTCTTAAACAAATGTACTTCCACGAGGATGAAGAATCTATTATTGATAATTTTTTTCCTCATCAGGAAGACTACTTAACTGAAAAGTAAATCTGATTTATGTTTTTAAAACATAAATTAATTCTCAGAAGTATTATGTTTTGCTAATGCTGAGTTCTTTGTGTCCAGTGCTGACACCCTAGAGGCAGAAGTTGCCTCGTTACATTATACAGGCCAAATTCTCTTTTAGCCGTTGTAGCTTGGTGTTTCTCCAGAGACCACCTCCATTACCTCAGAGTATAAGAATCAAGTGCAGATTGAGGCAAGGATATTCTGTAAAGTCTTTGTAACTAAATGTGCATGAATTTTGTGTTGCAGAGATGTCCTTGCACTGCCGATCTTCAAGCAGGAAGAACCGCAGCTGTCTCCTGAGAATGATGCCAAACTGCCACCCTTCCAGTATGTCCTCTGCACAGCCACGTCACCTGCTGTGAAACTGCATGAAGAAACCCTGACCTACCTCAACCAAGGTAGGGTTTGTACTACACTGAAGGAGGGTGCATTTCCTGGGAACAATTCATAAGACAGATTAAATCCCATCTTGTGCCTTACTGGGAGGGCAGTGGGATGGGAAAAAGAGGGATAGAGATGGGGAGAGGGATGGAGGAAAGGAGGAATATTTAATTTTTCACATTTATATACCAGATTGTCAACTGATTAAAAAAAAATGAAGTACCACCAATATGACTGTTGACCTGAAGCAGCATTATAGCATGCACGGTTCCCTGTGGCCAGGTACTGGCTTTTGATCTCGGACAACTTAAACTGCAGCTTCCTACCTTCATCTGAAAGTGCCGGATTAATTACGCAGATTGGCAGACTTTGGCTTGGGGAGGATTCTTAATATTGCAAGTCCGCAAGTGCTGCTGGAGGGCATTGCCGGAGGATGAGTTAGCAGGTGACCAAGGGCTCCTTGGTGGCCTGGGCAGTGTGACATCGTTCCTGCTGGCTGGATGATGCAGCTCTGCTCAGTCCCTAACTGGACGAGTTGCTGGGGCTCAGTGCAGCAAGGTCCTCTATAACTGACCTCATCGGCTAATTTTTACTCCTGGATAAACAAGCACTGTGTGCTTCTCTAGGCTTTTATTTTTTCCCTTTTGGCAGAATTTGTGCAGACACATCTGTGGTTGGAATTTGGCTGTCACTTTGCAGCACCTCCTGCATGTGAGTCCTGAGGGCATCAGACCTCTCCAGGCACAAATTGTGCTAAAACTTACTACGCTTATTTTCTGCCAGGCTGTAAACAAGGGCATTAGCCTGGCAACGAGCTGAATGCTGTCTGCCCTGTTACTGAGACCCTCTCCTGCTTCAGGGCACTTCCCCAGCTCTGCGCACTGAGCATGAAGCTCACTCAGGTGCCTTTGTGGCTAGGTTTCTCTCAACGCTCGTACAAATCAGAGCCCTGACCTCGTTTGGACTCTAAACCTCAGGTGCAGCTGGCTGCTGGATCTGTGTTGCTAGCTGGTAGATCCATGGAGCCCCCTGTAGAAAGATCAACCACGTGCTGCAGGCTCTACCCAAAGAGTCAGATGTTTCCTGTCATGTAAGGTAGCACTGTGCTGTCTCCCAGGATTGGAAGATGCCTGAGATTTGTGATTGTGTCTTCCCAGTTTATCCATCCAAATACTGCAGACCCCAGGAGGTGAGACGGGGCATATCAAGGGTGAGGTGGAGATGAATCTTCCTGTGGAACATAATTATTTCCTGTTTCAGAGTAAAAGATTTTTTTTGTTGTGAAAAGCAGTTGATGGCCAAATATTTTAGCATACATGAGGCAGTGCCTGCTTTTTTACCTTGGTAGGGCAAAAGTTAGACAAATCTTTACACAATACCATGTTTTAAAAAACTGTGTGACTACAGCAGTCTATGGTTTCCTATTTAAAGTAAGACTGTTACTGCCTTTGCAGATGGACCATGTTGTGTTAGGCTTTTTCCTGCTTACTATTGCAAGGAGTTGTCTTCTGCTCTATCTTGACACAGTACTGACCTGTTTCCTTGGCAGACCACCAGTTCTTGGATATCTTCTGCATCTGTCTTTCAACCTTCAAGGGGGAGGGTGAGATGTGTCCTTGCAGAATACACCCTGGAGAGCATGAAGCTGGACAGGCCTGGAGGAACAAAGCATTTTTTTCAGTGGGCCAGAGTTGGGAAGGGGCTGGAGGAAAAAGTAGGCGCTCCTTAGTACTGTTGGCTTGCCGCCACAGTGAATGGAAACAGCACCTTTTCCTAGAGAGTCTTTGGGGTGATTAGTGGTAAAAGGTGATATGTCTCCTGACAGTTGAATGGCTCACTGCTTTCTGTTCCTCTTGGCAGGAGCTTTGCATCTGCCTGCTACAGTCTCAGGAGCATCCTCACCTCTTTTGTTTAAGCTCCCAAGCAATTTGTCTTCCTCCTTACACTGAGATGCTCTGGGTTTCTTGAAAGACCTCTTGAAATTCAAGGCGCTCTATATGTAGATGGATTTTATTTCTTCTTGAGATCTTGCAATGTACCTACTTAGAAAGCCATTCTGCTCCACTCCAGCATGTTGCTTCAGAGTCCACACCATTGGCTGCACCCTTGCTCCCAGCACTGACCCTTTCCCATAGCAAGGGCAGGTCTTGACTGTAAATTTGTCTGACGTGTAGTCTACCTTGATACTGAGTCTCTTAGATCAAAATCCCTTGCCTATGCTAGTTAAGAAAAAGGCACTGGATTCTGCTCCCTCTTATGGGTATGGGCTGCTGTGAGAAGCTTGTGGGTTCATTGAAGGTAACTACAGATATGGGGAGAACAGGATTCTGTACACACTTTCAGCCAGCTGTGGTCAGAGCTAGAGAGTCTAATTTCTATTGGTGAGATATCAGTGAGGACATTGCCTGGGGTTTAAAAGTGATGAAGGTTTGTATTGCAATTCCGGGACATCGATTGGGTTGGCAGGTAACCTCCTATTTCACTTAGAAGTTTCTGTTGAGGAACATCTACATAAAAGGATATTTGGTCTTTTTCATGACATCTATGTCAAAAACATGTTCCTCATGCATTGACCTTCTGAAATAAAAAATAAGAAATGTGTCTGTTTAAAAGCAAAAATTAAAGTCCTTGTGTCAAATTTTCTTCTGTTTTCAGCAAGACTTCTCTGTGGGAATCATTTTTGATTCTTGAGCTATGTAGTTTCCTAGTAGGTACCTGTCGTGTAGATATTTTCCCATCCCTTCTCCAGAACCAGAGAAGGGTTCTGCAACACCTTACGTTGACCTGCTTGACACAAGCCAGGGAATTCCACCCAGACACTGCCACACTGATCTGAATTGTCCTGCCTGAGCTAGAACAAAGTGCAAGCTAAAGGCTCTGACAGAAAATAAATCCCATTAGTAGAATTATGTTGTATGAGCCTGAGGAGACCTCTAGGCAGCTCAGGTTTCTGAAGCCAATACTCACGGCATGGCAGAAGAGCTGACTGACTGCAGAGCACTGACCCAGCTGCAGTGCCATAGCCATCTCGTGCAGCAACTTAGCCCATTCCTTACACCTTATTGTCTTATGCTGGCTGTAAGCAGAGGGACACCTCTTGCACCTTACCCTCTTTCTGTGCTTATCATGGTCTGGCCAAACACTGTTACATAAAACTTCCCTTCTTCCTTGTGTGCTTGAGTTTTGTGATGGATTACTTTAGCAAATGGGTAACTTCATTAATGGATGTCCCACCGCCCTGTCTGTGCTGGGGAGAGTGTCAGTCATAGCTGGCTCCTAGTAAGGCAGATACAAAGACACAGTGGCTGTCCCAGTGTCAGCAAAGTCATTCACATCCAGAGTAGTTACTTATCCAAATCTTGAAGACTGAGTTTGGGGTTTTCTGCTTGCTGGGTGACTCTTGCCACTTGCTGTCCAAATGTTATTTCCTGACTCGAGCTCTTCACCACTTAGTAACTGACCTTTTGTCACCGTGAAGCAGCTCTGCTCCCTGCCCTGAATGGCTTATTCCACACATGACTGGTTCAATGGTAGTTGGTGAGTGGACCAGCTCAAGAGATAGTCCATGTGCAGAACAGGGTAAAAGAAAACTCAGGTCTGACAGAGCTATGGAGTGGGGAAAGCTGAAAGAACTGGGTAGTGAATTGAAAGCCAAGTTGCATAGCAGAGATAGAAGAAGAACCAGTAGAGAGATTCAGGTGAGATCTTAAAGGGTTTCATATGGGCTAGGAAGAAGGGCTGTCCAGTGGCTGTGTTTGCGTACAAATGGGAAAGGGATGGGAGAGTGCTCCAGGCTTATGGAGTGTAATGAGTTCTCATGAGCCTTGCTTGTTGCTGGATAGACGCAGAGGGATGGTCAGTGGCATTGAGGAGGAAGAAGTCTTTGGCCTGGGCCCTCCACAAGGGTGAAAGAGAACGCTGAGAGGACTTCTGAGGTGGAGACCAGTGTTTTCAGCAAGGACAGGGGAAGCGTTTGTGAGGGAGCATAAGAGAGTGAGCTTAGCTGTTGTGTTAAGTTGACTCGGGGACATTAGGCAGTGGCAGGCTCCCAAGCTTGTCTGCTCCAGTTTGAAACTGTGAGTGCTTGCTGGCTGCAGCTCTAGAACCAGCCTGTAAATGAAGTAACTAGAGTCAAATCCTTAGCTTAGTTTCCAAAGACTGACTCATTACACTTGTCTTTACCGATTTCTTCCCTGCCTGCCTTCCCACATTCCTTGGGAAGCTGGAGCCAGAGTCCTGCTAGCCCAAATTGAACATGATCTTAGTTTGCTAATCATTAGGGCAGTTCCTACATTGAGATCTTTGTAGGACCTCAGGAGGATTACTCATCCAATGGGACAAAGTATGGACTTATTAGTATGGTGTCTTAACACTGCTGCACCTCCAGTCCACAAAACTGGTAAAGGTGCTGTCCTCAGATGAGAAACTGCTGCTGGCATCACTCCTTTGGTCAGGGATCATGTCTGTCAACAGAGCTATGCTGGCCAGAAGTCTGCAGCACAAACATCGCCTAACGTTTTTGGAACTAGCCCGCCTTTTAGCACTATTTCAGTGTCTCTTGTGGATAGGGATTTTCAGACAAACAATCAACCAGCAACCATATTACAAACCACTGCTTTAGCAAGAGGGCTTGATGCAGTTGCATATTCCATGGTCTGCAGTCATATGGGGTGTGGTTTGACCATGGCTGGTTGAAACTAGTTTCAAACACGGACAGAAATGGGAGCAATGAAGGTGGTTCTGGAAACTGCACCAGGAGGAATGCAGAGGAAACAAGCACTGTACAGTAGATCTGAATGCTAGTAAATGGAAGGAAATAAAATCATTCCTTTAAGAAACAAAACAAAAAGCCAAAAAACACAAAAACCTGAAAGTCATTGCCCAAGGGAATCAGCTTGTAATGCCAGAACCACATGTGAACTGTGAGCTGTTCAAGTCATGATTTTTGTTTCATGACCAGCATTGGGTTGGCTCAGAGCCTCAGATCTAAATTGCTCCAAATAGAGGGCAGTTAAGG